AGGGTTCTCATAGCGTGAGACAACTTTTGGCTTCTTCTCTGGAAGATGAATGACCAGTCCCTTCAAGATGAGTTATGGTTTGCTTGATCAGAGTTCCTCAGAGTATCTCTTGCTTGTCCATGTGGCTTCTGGGAGGGTTTGGTTTCTTAAGTGGAACAGATCACCATTTACAAATGAATTTTGAGGCCCTCTACATCAGGATTGTTACAAAACTCTACACAAAAGCAGTGTATGCTTGTGTGTTGTGTATGAAGATAATATTGTGTGTTGTGTATGAAGATAATATTGTGTGTAGCCAGTTATTTTGCTGTTATCTTCGCAGCTTCAGTTCCCCAAGAAGGATTATGTGAATATGTGAGTGCTGGACATTTTGAATGATCTGTCTACTGTGCTGTAGTGTTTGATCTTGCTGACCTAATAACACTATTACAGTTCAAAAAGTCTTCCCTAAGTGTGAGTACCTCTCCAATGTACACCAGAGTCCTCATTCTAATAATTCTGTGGCCGATATAGAGGCAGCTGAACCCGGCCAGACCACGGCATCTTACATTGGAGACTCTAAAGGATACCTAATAAACAGATCAGGCAACAAGTGGCAGCCACTGCCACATAAGGATATGTGGCATTGTTCCTAAGTTTGTAGGGTCAATAAAATTGTTAGGCATTGCAAAAGGCTGCCTGCAGCTCTGAACAATCTCATGCTTTATGTACTGCCTAACTGATGTGTTTGTTCCCATTTCAAAATAAGGTAGCTAGTACAGTAGCCAACCCTACTGCAGAAAGGCCATGAGATGTGTGGTTAGTGTCCTTTTAAAATATTTAATAGTGCTGTATTCTGTGTACCTCTAGTGAGGAGGCAAGTACCATTGGGATTCCAGCACTAGGCTTTCGTGGATGCTAGCTGTGATGGTTTTGTATTGAGCACTTCTGCTAAGTAAAAGGACACTGCTCAGACTGACAGGAAGAATAAGGCTACAAATACCCTCGGCACAATGGCTTAATCAATTGTGTTGTGGTTGCACTACTCATCAGTACCAAGTGCACACAATTTATAACAAGCCGTTCATACAGTATTAAGATTATGTAGGTGTGAAAAGTGATACTTTGGATAGATAATCTCTGAATTACTTGGGGGAGCTGATCAACTTACTAATTAAAAATTTTCCCCATTTGGCAGGTTTTCCTGCTCACAAGTCACATGAGCAGACTTTGATTTTCCAATTTTAATCACTATTCAGTGAACCGCTTGAGTTCACTAACTTGCTGACCAATGGTTTGTGATTGTGACTTGTAACCATGATATTGTTTCTGCTGCCTGACAGGCTGGCAAACTTTTCAACCAGAATAGTATTATTTATTTGTATTACTGTAGCAGCTAGGAGCTGTAGTTATGGACCAAGGAACCTATTGTGCTAGGTGCTATACAAAGACTGAACAAAAAGGTGGTCCCTGTCCCCAGCTGCTTAAAAGTATGAGATAACAGATGGATACAGACAGATGGGGGTGTACAAGGAAACGAGATGTTATTGGTCAGCATGATAGGCTGTGGTCTAACTGTTGTCGTGTTTTTTGTAGGCATCATGGGAAAGGTGAGTGTTTAATGAGGGTAACGAGGAGCTTTGTGAGTGTTTACAGGAAGTTCCTTCCAAGCCTGAGAGAAAGCATGAAGGTACCTGTTTGAAAATTTAACAACTGGATGATGGTACTGGGTCACATCAGCCCCCCGTACTGACTGCTGCTATGGGGGCCTGGGCTTGGAAGCCCTTGCTTCCCTTGAAGGTTCAGCTTCAGATTCCAGCTGTTCTGTCCTTTGATATGATCGCTTGATTTCTGCCAAATTCAACATCATCCCCAGGACTCCAGACATCTTCATCAATGACTGTTGCTGTGCTGCTATGGGTTGTTCACCTGCTTTATCACCAATCAAAATAGGCACAGGCTAAAAATAATACAGCAAGAAATACCTATAAGAATACCAGAAATAAAATAAGGTTAAAAATAAGTTATTTAACTGATTAAAAATGGGTATGGTTCCAATAAAAGAGGGTAAGAGTTAAGGTAACATAAACAAAGAAAAAGGCGAGGGTTAAATATGAAAAACAATATAGAAAATATAGGGTGACACAGAAAATGGCAATAGTTAAAATAAACAGGAAACAGCAGGGTAGGATTAATAAATCTGATCCTACAGACACGTCTTGAGTAACTTTATGCAATGCATGTAAAGTTAAACTTGTGCCTAAGTGTTGGCAGTATCTGGGCCAAAGACTATAGTTTAGAATTAAATGAGGCATTGTAATAAAAAAGCATCATTCTCGGGAGGGTTTACAGTAAATACACTTTGCTACTTGATAAAGTTACTGTAGATTCTTAGCACGTGAGAACACACTTTCAATGTGTTTGCAGTTCGGTTTATGTAAAAAGTCCAAGGCCCCAATCCTGCAAACGCTTAGGCACCTGTGTAACTTTACTCATATGAGTAATGCTATTTAGGTAAGAGAGGGTTCCCCATTTCTAGACCTGCCAGGGTGTGGTACCTTTCACTAGCACTGAATTAATACAATTTAAAATATCTACTGAAAGGGAAGACCGCAGTGAACAGTGGGATATGTTGTCCCCACATTAGAGGGAGACGACAATCTCCATTTTATGCAGAATTGAAGCAGCTGTGTGGATCCTGGCAAGCTGCAACCGTAGGCAAAATGGGTGTCCTGCAATATACTCTTAGAGCAGTCACTTGGGGCGTGTAAACAGGAGCAACACGATCTAAGGATTAAGAGCCTGTGCATGCCCCATCTTTGCCTTCACTCCACCACTTTCCCATAGGGAGGGATTTACAGATTCTCACCTTGCAGGAAGGAATGAACCCCTTAGACCTGTCTAGAATGGTGCTTTACTCAAAAAGCAGTTGTCAAACACGGCTCAAGGAGACCCATTTTGGACATGGTATGTCCAATCAAGGTGGTAAGGGCTAACCTGGGTTTGGGGAGATGGGTTTTTAAACTGTTCTAAATGACTAAAAGTGTCCTATCTTCACTGTACATTATGAGAGAAAAAGGAGAATGTTTGCAGCGGTGTTGTACCCAGGGTATATGAGAGACCAGGTGGGTGAGGGAATATCTTTCATTGGACCAATGTCTGATAGTGAAAGAGGAGAAGGCATAGGAAAGATACAAGTGTACATTTGGCCACTTGGTGGCACTGTTGTCACAGGGAAAATGTACGAGCCCAGTCTGACCTAACCTTTGTTTCTGCCCCCAGATCTGCTAATGCAAAGGGGATCTCTGCTGAATCTGCAGCCCCTGGAATAAGACTTTGCAGTTTCAGGCTTGTATGGCTCTCTCAAATAAAGATACTGGCTAGGAGAGTGGATCAAAATTTTTTGAATTTTGAAAGGAAACAAAAATGTATATTTTATATATATATAAAATTTTTTTTGCTAAAACATTTGTGTTCTACTAGCTACATTAAAAGCATTTCCATACAAGAGAGGCCTTGAGCACTGGTGAGAGCAGGCTACCCCAAGAGGTTGGGAAGAGGCATCTAAATTTTCTGGGATCATTGTTGTTTTGCCAGAATAGCTTTCATGTTTTGGAGGAGACAAAATTTTCATGTCACAAATTAGCTTTCATGATTCATGAAAAATTGCATTGCATTGCAATGGGATAACATGTCAAAATGCCTTCTCATTTGGCCTAAGTCCTGACCGCCTTTAGCTTGACAGCCCTGGAACCTGCAGTCCTCTATGTACAGACAGGGATGATGATGATGATGATGGCAATACAAAGTGGCTAGCCAAGGGAAGTGAGCAGGTACTGTAACTGATGGATTGTTCCTCACCTCTTGCAAGGAAGAGGGATATAGCTTTGGGATCAGGTCTTCCGCTAGCATAGATCAGCGTAGCTCCATGGTCCTTTATATGAATGAGGTAATGATTTATATGGAAAGCATAAATCTCTTGCAAATATGGGATAGACCAGTCTACTGGTGTCTGTTTCCATCAGTGATCGTGCTAGAGGTGAGGTTGGAGGGGCTGGGCATGTGCTGACGGGCCGTGCTGCATTGCATCTCTGCAGTGTCCGCCCAAGCTCAGGTTGTGCCTGATGTGAGTTATCCTAAGAGGGAGAAGCTGGTCTGATCGTTGTGATCTCATACCCATAGACTATGGCAGACAGGCGTGTATCTGTGTTGAAATGTCACAGCCAGAGGAGTGGGTTCCCTGGGGAGGAAAGTCCCTCAATTTTCTATTAGACCCCCCACGATAATCCTTAATTTTCCCCCTGTTTCCTCCTCACCTGCAGTTGGCTACTGTAGTTATGGCCAAGTAGGATTTTGACACTCACTAGCATGTGTATGTTGCTCCCTAAGAGGAGTAATTGACGTAATGACTCCATGATACTTCCAGGGCAGGGGGGTTTGAGCTTGGATATTGATCTCTGGTCTCCTGCATTACACTAATATACCTTACTTAGGAATAGCCAGGCAGGATCAAACCCAAGGTCCATCTAGTGCAGTGGCCTCTTTCTGGCTAGTATGCTGCAGAGGAAGGTACAAAAACTCCATAGTTGGTTTCAATGGGGTGTGTGTGGGGTGCACCCAATAGAAATCAGGTAGGGTGGGCCAAGGGCTATACCTAGGATAGTAAACTGACCCATAATAGTGGGATGTAATTAAGGAAAAATTAAGCTGGATATGGAAGATCTACTAGGCTGCAGAATGTCTTTCTTTCCCATGGGAAGTGGTGGAAGCCCCATTGCCCAGTTAGACTGCACAAAGCATTGGAAGGATGAATACTGTAGCAGGGTGGTGGGACAGACTAGGTCACTGCATGGCACTTAGATAGCATCTTCCCTTTGTGGCTCTCGAGGCCTTCTCCATTTCTAATTTCTGTGATTGTATGGTACCTCTATGGGCATTTACACGACACCAATTGTTGTGGAGTCTACTACCAGTATGTGGAAGAATATTCACATACAGGTGGATGCATGAGTGTACGGACACTGAATTATCCTGTATGTATCAGTGCTGCTACAATATCTTTGTTCTCCTTTGCCAGTGGCTTTCCATGAAAGGTTCCATCTCTCTTCTGGCTCTTTCTTTGTGCTCTGGTATCCTTACTGGTAGGAGCAGTTAGGGCAGACCCACCAAAGTGGTAGGATCCAGTGACCGCTCCCAGAAGCTGCGTTGGTGTTCACAGATAATGTGAGAAAGTGTCTTCAATCTGGTGCAAGAACTATCCGTGCTGGGCTTGGCTCATTCAGTATTGTTCTTTATTTATCATTAATATGGCAGTGATGCCTAACGGCCACAATCAGGCTGCACTAGGTGCTGTGCAAACATACAGTGTGTGACCATCTCTGCCCCAAAGAGCTTGTAGTCAAAATAAGATGCACTAGGTGGATGAGGCAAATAGGTGTGCTGAGTGGGAGGCAGGGTAATAAATGTAACACCATGTGCACAATCCTTAGGCTGACAAGTGATCACGGCTCCCCACCTGCCTAGCCATTCTCAAGCTGTTCATGTCGCTCCCAGAAAGGCACGGGCTAGAGAAGACAAGGTTTCATGGGATGTCATGTTCTGTGTGTAAGCAGAGTCAGAATGAGCTCTACCCTGACATCTGGTGGTGAGCTGTGGAAAATGACTTCAGGGGCTGATCTAGTTTGCATGGGCACACTCACCCTGCCTAACATGGACTGCCTGCCCAAATAGTCACTTTGGCTCCTGTGGGATCCCCACTCTCTTTGTTGCTGGGGCAGGAGTAATAAAGCGTTGTTATCCTGGTTATGTGAAACAAGGACAGTAGAACTCTACTTGGCATTTTCTGATGGAGGGACTCATTCTCAACTAAGCAGCACTTGCTAGGCAAGGGACATGGGTTCCAAAACCCAGTGAATTGAGAGAGAGGCTGGGGACAGGTGTGTGTATCTGGTAGTGTGGGCCCCTTCTGAGGGTTCTAAACACTACTTTGCCCCCTTCTCTCTACACCATGTAATAACAGAGCTAATTCTGAGTCCATTAGGAGTCTTGTTACATGCTGCAGAGCTGAAATCACTGATACCTAGGTCTAAGCATTGAACCTACTTTGGGCTAGTGATCCACCAGCACTGGGACCCCCCTACTACCAGCTAAATTCACTGAGAGCTGAACTCACTAAAGAGCTGTAGTTACTAAGAACTGAGATCACAGAGCTGTGTTAAGGAGCGGGGGCCTGAAGACAAGCTGGTGAGCAGCTAGCAGGGTGGTTGGCGGAGAGGAGTGGACAGCAGGATGGCTAGTGGAAAGGAGCGGCGAGCAGAGTGGAGAGCATGGCGGTTGGCGGAGAGGAGCGGAAAGCAGGACGGGTTGCGGCAAGGCACAGCTGACGGTGAAGACTGCAGCAGAACCACATGGAGAGGCATGGCACTTGGCCATCGACCCGAGCAGCAGAGCATGTAAGATGCCCCCCATACTTCCCTCCACTTCCACCCAGGCTGGGAGGTAAACTCTGCAGATTAACTTCTGAACTCTGGGCTGCACTGACCAAGGTCAGAAACTGTGGGTGGGGTGACTGTTTGGTTGCTGGACTTAAGACTCTGAGGGGAAAAGGACACTGCCAAACTTACTTGGGGGTGGGTTTTTTGTTCATGGTTTGTGTTATGAATCCTGTTTGTGGTGTTTCCCCAACATAATGCCGCTTTGTTTCCCTCCTTTATTAAAAGGCTTTTGTTACACTCTGACTCTGTGCTTGAAAGAGGGGAAGTATTGCCTCTTAGGGGAGCCCAGGGGGGTGGTATGTAATTGTCCCAGGTCACTGGGTGGGGGCTTGAGCCGGTTTTGCATTGTGTTATTGAAACGGAACCCCTAGATACTGAGCCCGGTCCTTGTTGCTGCCAACTCTGACGGGCAGAAGGGTTACATGTGTAAGGTACTTATCCGCTCCCCACTCCCTGGTCACCATAGCATCTGAGTGCTGCAGAATCTTGAATGGACTTATCCTCAAAACACTCCTGTATGGTAGGGCCTGGCTATTCTCCCATTGCACAGATGGGGAACTGAGGCCCAAAGACACAGGCCCAGATTTTTAAAGGTAGCTGGGGGTTGCTGCGCTCAGCAGCGCAATACCTATCTGATTTAGGAACCTAAATCGCATGTTCAAAAGTGCTATAGGCACTTAGGAGTCTAAATCTGAGTGACTGTCAATGGGATTTTGGTTCCATAGTTCCTAAATCCCTTTGGGAAATGAGGGTTAGGATCCTAAATCAGTTAGGTGTGACACAGCAACACTTAATGACCTTTAAAAATCCAGGCCTAAGTGACTTGTCCAAAGTCACTGAGGGAATAAAGCCCAGGTCTCCTAAATCTCAGGTTACCGCCTTAACCGATGGGCCAGCTTTCCTCACACCTCCCTTGCTTTGATTTAACGCAACTGCTCTAATCACACGCTTGCCCTGTTGCAGATGCTGAATCCGTTTCCTCTCCTCACTAGCTATTTCACGGATCCTGCCTTCTGCGTTTGGTCTCATTTTCTATGCACATTTTCAGGGAGAACCGGTGGAGTTCCTGGGAATGAAAGGCTGAAGTATCTGGACTTGGATTGCTCCTGACAAGCAGAAAGACTCTCAGAGTAACAGTGCAAGAAGGGTAGGCAACGGATTGATCTGGAAGGTAATCCAACAGGCGAAGAGTGCAGTGGGTTTCTTTCTGAGCAAAGACCAAGTGTACTGTTTGATTCACACATGGGCTCTTTTTCTTCCCATAAGGAAAAAGCACAGGGGCTGTAACAACAGCTGAGACTGGCAGAGGGAAACAAAAGCCAAGCCAGATGACTTGCCAAAGAAGGAACCCTTAGAGCTTGCAGGCTGATATGCAGACTGGTATGTAGAGAGGAGCAGGAATGTAGATGGAAGAATATAGCAACTGGCAGAAGCAGAGGAGAGCAGTTTATTCTAGTCTCCCCACAGGAACCATGCCTCCATTTTGGGAGGAACAGAAGCAGACTAAGAGGAGGCCAGAGACTGTAGAAGATGATGGCCCTGCAAAGAAAAAGATGGAAAAACCCAGGTTATGGTGAGTTTCCATAGCAACGCAATACTTTTCCTGGGAATTTCAAAGGAATAGATCAAATGTCTGTAACTCTCAAATTCCAAATCCTCCAGCTCCAGGATTTGCCCACAACCAATTGCAGTGGTCACATGTTCACCAAGAGCTTCAGTGGTGCAATAAGATCATGAACGATGGACGCAGACTGAATAACCCGCCAGACCCTCTTAAGGACCTAGCGGGAAATCAATCCAGATGGCACTCGGTCTGCAAGGAGGCTACAGCAGTTTGGGATTTGCCATGGTGCTGATGAATAGTAACATCCACCATGGTAAGCTCTGCCCTGACTTTCAAAGGGCCAATCTTTGAACAAGTTTCTCCTTTCCTTTCCTGTCCTATTTTGGCCTGGACAGATCTGGGTAGCCGATAATTATGATTTTTTGCAACTTAGGAGGCTGAGGGAAGGCCCTATATAGGACAGTTCAAAGGGAGTAAAGCATCCTAATTATAACAGGCTGGATCAGCTTTGGGCAACCTCCTGAAGATCCTGGAAAGGGGAAGGTGTGAGCCGCTCCAGGTGGCTGGAAGAGGACTAATTGCCCCAGATGTTTTCCCATGGCAGTGACCTCTGCTCACATGTGCATAATACAATTAAAGCTGACTTGATTCAGTCTCAGTCCAGGTTAACCCTGGGGAAAGACTAGGCTACATGGTTTGACCTAGGTACAATTGAGAGAGATTTGTGTTTACATGCAGGGTGTGCTACAGTGATGCTAGGGGAAACTATGGGGATTTAAAACCTAACTAATGTCTTACATTCAGCAAATGCATAAGCAATCCTCTCTTTTCTGATAAGTGGCTCATAAAGAATCATAAAATGTAAGGTTGGACGGGAGCTCTTGAGATCATCAAGTCCAGCTCTGTCCTGAGGCAGGACCACATAAACCTAGACCATCCCTGACTGGTGTTTGTCCAGCCTGTTTTTAAAAACTTTGTTCTTTAATCTGATTGTTCCTCTATTACTGGTCAGTTTAGACTTATTACTGGGTCTCAAATATTTGTACATAGAAATAATTATCATTTAGAATAAAGCCATGAATTAAATGAACTCAGGAAAAAAACCCCAGTCAAAGTATATAATACCAAATAAGCAGCAGTATTTTAAACAAGGCAATCTTAAACCCTCCCCCACCCTTAAACATTTATTATATTTTCTCATATTTCTCCTGACAACCACTTGTTCAACTTCTGACCTGTTTGCAAAAATCTGCAGACCATCTATCAAAGTGATACGCGCGCACACGCACACTTGCAAACTTCTGTTCTATGGGCATTAAGTAAATTATTTCTTTAAGATCATATGGCAGATCTATAATTAATTAAACCCTCCATGATATTAGTGTAAAATAATTTAGCGTTTCTAAAAAGGTAAATGTAATTTGCCGATCTGGTATTTGGAAGAATGCTTTTCCAAAAATCAATTCCTTTAGTTTCTAGAGAATAGGAATGAGAAGCAATCTCATTTTAATTATATCTCTTTATTGCTAACAAAGGAATGATTTATGCAATTAAATTAACTGGCTAGAAAATTATTCTCAGCTGGGCTGTCCTAATTCTTTGCTTTCTGAATTGCAGGCTTTTACACTTTTCTATATAGATTAATTTTTCTGATATGCAAACAATGCTCCTTGTGTTCATTTTTAACATTTTCTATTCACAGCTTCCCTTTTCTTAGTGCTGATGACATGAGTAATATTTGTGAACTGCTGGGCTCTGATTCATAGGGTTTTTTTGTGCAGAAAGATAGGAAAAAATCTTTCCTTTTGAATCTCATTATTGCCAGCACAGAGCAAGATTTGGAAGTTTTCTTATCTATTGCCAAGAAACAGCAGCGGGAACATGAAGAAATTGCAAAGATGTCAAAAGATGCAAACTTTTAAAGAGAAACACTTTAGCATTGGAGAGACGTGATTTTTGCAGCTGGGGTTTTTTAGTATTTTCTTCCATGCTCCCTTTGTCTCCCTGGTAAAAGGGAACTGAGGGCAAGCTCCTATCATGTGTTGCATGAAAGCACTACTGGAGGAAGAGGTTCTGGGAGAGGTTTTTTTTCTGCAACAGCTGGACAGAACTCTATCTTGATTGTTAGGCGGTGGGAGAAGCTAAACTGCATGTTAAGCACATCATGACCACAAGGGGACATAGTCTGGAGGGGCAGGGGTATCCTTTGTATAGGGTAGGGATTGGGGCACTTTGCTCTGTTTTAGAGAACCTGTGAATGTGCTGGGATGCAAGTTCCCCCAGGTCCTCCTGAGCCTTCCTGCCCTGCATCAGCTAGGATGGCTTGCTAGCCAGTGTCTGGCCCTCTTGGCTCCATCCCAGTTCCATGGAATTGTCCAAAAGATTTAGGCCTTGTCATTGTGCCTGTGCTTTGGTTGTGTTGCACCTAGCTGCTGATTTGAAGTTCATGAGATTGGGAGTTGGTGTGGGCTAAGGGTTTGTGGGGCCTTGAAGTTGCTGAGATAGAAGGATCAGGCCGTGTATTGCCTCTCCTGCTCCTGCTGCCAGGGAGGGGTTTGGGCCAGCCTGTGAGTTGGATAGGAGGAGGGGTCGCCAGAGGCCCCTTCCTTTGAGTGTGCTTCATCCTGGTAGATGGTAAATTCAGGCTAATGGGAGATGTTGTTGCTCAAGACCTCTCAACATCAGGCCACTGATTTAGAATGGATTTAGGGGCCACTGGGCACCCACATTTGAAAATGCAGGCCTTTAAACTACTGGAGGGGTCTTTCTTCAGAACCCTAGCCCTGCACTTCTCAGCTTCCTCCCTCAACAAAACTAGGTCCCTCCTCAGATCTGCTCCCACCCCTGGATCACCCTGTGTTCCCCAGCCTTAAATCGACCAATGGCTTCCTAGTCTCTGTCCATCCCCTGGTCTCAGCGCACCCAGGGGAGGAACCAAGGGGCAGTGTGCTCTGGGCCCCCCTGTTTGGGAGGGCCCTTACAATGACAGGGGGTGGCCAGGCTGAATGTGAGTGAATGGCATTGCAACCTGGCACACGGGGACACAGCACCACTCAGGCTGGGTACCTGCCATTGATTGTACGGAAAGAGGTATGGAGGGGATAACCTTGGGTGATCCACCAAGCTGAGAGCCCGGAGGTAGTAGCAGAGTTGGGGATAAAGCCCCCACAGTCAACAGGGCTGGAAGTCAGGGAGAGGCGGGGCTGGGAGATGGCATTGACCCCACAGGCCTGGGCTCCCTGATCCCCTCCCCTCTTAACAGTTCAGCCTCAACCCCAATGCCTGCCCGCTCCTGATATGAGAGTGGGATCAGAACTGGAGTTTGGTTTGGTGCTGGCTGAGAGAAGATGAAGGTTTCTATTCCAGCTGCCATTGAGATTCCAGACTGGCCTCACCTATCAGTGAGACAAGACCTCCCTTTTCTCTGGCACAATCTGCTCCCCCTAATGAGTACCTCCAACAACTAGACACGGGACAATTCCCAGATGGCTTCTATCCAGGGGCTAGTTAACTTCCCACACATTCCTCCTGTGTCACTTATTGTGAGAGGCATCACTCATTTTAGTCCCCAAATTCCCTGAGTTCCACATAAATTTGGTGTCCCCTCCCCTTGATTGTTGGAAATGTATTTACAGCAGAAAAGATTTAAAAACAAGTACAAAACAGCCAGAGACTGGAGAAACAGAAGGCCATTTAACCTGAAGGAAGGAGTCCTGAAGTTATTTTCAGTTTTCTGCATGGATATTTGCTTTTCATGTCCCTCATTTTAGGTCTTTGTCCTCTGTTACGTCCCACATCTAGGCCTTGGCAGTGTGAGAAGTATGTACTTATTAGATCATCTGTAATTAGTAATGGGAGCATCTTGGTAGATTCAGACACTAGGTTCAAGTGCTTACCCTAAGCTTATCTGAACTTTCTGACCTTCTTGTGGTTGAAAAATTGGCCTATCAAACTTACCAGCATAGATTTTCTGGGATTTCTACTTCTTTCTTCAGGATAGGTCAGGATCCCAGCCAGAACAGCCCATATCACAGGATTCCAGCAATTCCATTCAGGGCACGAGGTAGCAGCAAGGTAAAGAAAATACTTTTAGACATGCAAAATGCATTGATGTCGGTTCTGTTCAAAATCCAAGCAAAAAGTTCATCTCGGTGCTTAGATCAGAATTTGATTTGTATAATTGTGTCCCGTAAAGTGTCGTCTCTCAAACTGTGGCTTGTGGACAGAGGACATCTGAGAAGTCTGTACTGTTGCTTCCCTTGCAAGGCTGAACTTGATGAGTTTTCAAGCTGGGGATCGCCTGCTAGTCCCTGTCTAGAGCCAGAGCTGGTTTTAAAAAAAAAAAAGAAAAGAAATTTTCACAAATTTCTGTCCACCATTTTGACTAGTTTTTTTCCTTCGAAATCAGAAATTTCAATGAAATTTTGTCAGCATGGCACATTTTGGGGAATTTTCAATTGGCTCTATTCAGAACTTTTGGGCTCTGGGGAGCTTTTTGGTAAACAATTTTTTAAAATCAATCAGCTGTTTTCCCCTATGTAGCTGCTTCATATCTTTTTTTTTTATTTTTTGCATATAGGAGATACGAATTTAATTGTGATTAAATGTGTACGTGACTTCAAAATTGGAGGGGATGCAAACACAAGAAGCCAGAATCAAGCTGCAAAGTAACCACAGAGATTGGGTTGGTGGGAGAGGGGGATTGGAGGCAATTAAGGGTGCATAGTCCTAAGAAACTTAACCCCCACATATAGGTGGCCAGATTCTGACCTGGATCACACCATAGTAAATGTGGGGTTAATACCCTCAAAGCCACCAATGCGAGTTCAGATTGCAGGGAAGGGATGTAAACAGCAAAATATGCAGAAGGAAGGGACCATAACCAAGCACCTGTACCCATCACATCAAAGTGAGCTTACTTTCCTCTTGTCTTTTCTACAACCCTACGATGACCTACCAAGCACTACAGTTGCTCAGAGAAAATGTGGGATCACAGCAGAGAGAAGAGGGGTTGTAAGTGGCTCACAGTATGAAAATGTTTGAGCCTCACTGCTCTAAAGAGAGGCCTGTAATCCGGGCTAATAAATTTCATGGCAGTGCTGCATTGGTATCTCAACCCCATGCAGGGGACCCAGTCACAGGCTCAGTCACTTTGGGAACAGAACAGGAAAGATCACTTATCAAAAAACTTT